TTGCAAGAAATTGATCAAACAAGGATTGCAGCACATATCTACAGACTGACCACCCAATCACAGTATGCTCCCCATTGTTTAAGTGGGGGTGGGAGGAGGAAATACAAAAATTACAACAGTACATACTGACAAAATATTAATGAAGAATAAAATAAGAAGTCAATGTTATAAAATAATAACTGTACATAAAAAAAGGGATCAACATAATGAAAATTACAGCATGATCATTACATGATCCACACACATTGACATATTTATCACAGAATGCTGGAAAATAATTATACAAGTACATTTAACTAAGTCACACAGACACACCAATGGTCATATGGCCATTTCAGAGTACAACCACTAACTTTACACAAAAGCTTCAAGACATGAAACAATCCAAATACCCTGGTGGGATTTGAACCCACAGCAGTGTGCTCCACATTATGTTGGGCAGTTATTCCAAGTCGAAAACCTTAACTTTTTGGCCTGTGAGAGCTATACTTGTTTTTAGCAAAAATACTTCATTTTAAAAGGAATGGTCACAAAAATAAGTAAAATTTAATCAAATCCAACACTTAGGAATAAAACACTCATTCATTACGGTACAAGTTTCTACCATATCGTTTTTCTCTTTTTATACATGTTATAGGCAAAATGATAAAAAAAAAATTATTATTTTTTTTTTGGGGGGGGGGGGGGGTGTTACATTTTAAATCATACAAACAGAAAAGGATATAATGGTAATTTTCCAGCATTACAGGCACAAGAAGGCCACATTGGAAATAAGATATATATGATTGCTTTTGTATGTTCTTAATGTGTAACCTTCTTTAAATAAAGATATTATTATTATTATCATTAGAAGGTGTCACATGCAAGTTGGTGGCACATTTATAGAGAAACCAGCATATCACCAGCATATTGCCACCTCCGTGCAGTAACGGCATAACTCCTGTTGAATTATATAAAGAGTTAACCCATTACTGCACTTAGTTGGTGAATTATGGAACAAACAAAAATGGCACAACAGAAGAAAGATAGGCACCTCGCTGGCTAAAAAATATAACACCCAGATAAAGTAAGTTGTATGTGAACAGAACCATGACACTTAAATTATAATATAGCAAGGCACCAATTATTTATACTCTATTTCAAAAGCACAATAATTTTTTTGATGTTTTTTATATTTGTCTACTGGGTTTCAGTGACACCTTTATTTCATTACAGTAGTGTAGGAACAGGTTTACTCATTAAATAATAGTTCATCCATTACTACACTAAGATGATGATTCAATGTTAAGTCATACAGCTACATTCTGCATTAATTAATCTTGAAGAAAGAAAAACAAACGTAAAGGAAAAATGCAAGTTTGGGTTTTTTTTCAGCACTTTCATGGTTTTCTAATGCTTTGGTGTTTAGCTAGGAAAAAAACACATTTACTTATTTATACAAAATAAAATACATGAACTTAAAAATAAACAAGACAAAGCATAAATGTTTTAACAATGTTTTAACAGAACTCTTTAAGGGACATTATGCCCACCTACATGTAAATGGTCAGTGAACAGGTAAAAATCAAAATTACTTTAAATTTTGCCATAAATGTTTTCAATATAATATTTTACCATGAAAAAATAATCAAAAATCTATATGACCTATGGAAATTTCCATAAATATCGTTGGAAATGTATTGTTTTTTTTTAAGTGGGGCAGTCTTTTTATAATTTAGGTTGTGTTTATATTGTATCATTTGTAAACATTTTTTATTTCAATCACAAATTATAAAAGTCAATCTTTTGGAAATAAATTGCTAATTTAACTCAGATGTGAAAAAAATAGCATAACATTACTTTATTTTAGATAATAAGTTTAGATAACAAAAAATTCTTCTTTTTATTACATACATGAAATTTTGCTGCTACAAAACCTTTGCATTTATTACAATTTGCTCTGTGTATTTTTTTTTCATAGAAAATTTCTACTTATTATTATTATTATTTCAAACATAAGATACAGATGATCCTGACTAAAATTATAAATGAACTATGCATGTTTGAAAAGAAAAGAAAAAAAATGCATTCTTACATACATAGAAGTATAAATAAAAATTAAATATTTTATCTTATGCTGCCAACCTGGATATCTCAATGGGACTTTTTTTTGTACACATCATAATGTACCAAATGCTTTACAAATTACAATAGTCAACAATATCTATGCTGGTTAAAGCGGCATAAATCCAGGTTTGAGCTATATCTATGAAATCCTATAACATGTTTTCTTTACGGGTAAAACTTTTAGCGAGAGCATAAATAAAGTGACATGAATATCGACTAGTAAATTAAACTATAAATAAAACAATACCACAAAACCTCAAATTTCTATTGCAAATTAACAATATTAATCTAAATAACATATTAAGACAATCAATTCAATTACATTTACAAAAGCACACAAATTTAGAATGATTCCTCACATATAAAACAATGTGTTGGTGTACTTTAACATTTCCAAATTTGCAAAAAATCTTTGGAAAGAAAGAATCAGATTACTGGGTATTATAACACATGCTGAATAGTACTACAAGACTAACATTATCGGTAGGTTTTTTTGTTTGTTTTTGGTTGGGGATTACTTCACACTAACACTGTAAAGGTCATATGGTGACATTCTAGCTTTACTGCAGGTAGAAGTCCTCAGGTGCCTGTCCGTGCATTATTTCAGGCACTAAAGGGCACCAGAGTAGAACCACTGATGTTCATAGTTAATGAGACATGAAGCTGCCCAGTGTTATGCCGATGCTGATAGGGACAAGCTAAACCGAAGGTCATTTTGAAGGTCATGATCAATAACACATGAACATTTATGTAGGTGGAATTTCTAAAATGGATTAAGATAGGATGGCAGTCATCGAATTTAGCACTGGCCCAGTGGCCCATGGCCAGTGAAAATTAGTTCAGGCCAGTGTAAATTTTAAGAAAATTTTGTTAAATATCTAGTAGAATAAATTCAAAACTGGAATTCGGGCCAGTAATTCAAATTCAATGACTGGGATGGATATGTACCATTTCATGTAGAGACCTTTATTGTAAACACATGTAAAAATACCCAGTTAAAATGACAAATAACAAAATGCTCCCTCTTTAAATTAAATACAGTGATCATAATCAAATTAAGAAAAAATAACAGTATGTGCGGTGTTTATTGGCTATTTAACACCTGTTCAGCATTCTGAGTAAGAAATGACCACATAGGCTGTAGGCTTGAGTGGTTAATTGTTTTGTACCAAAACAACAAACTGGTATTAAAAAGCCAATAAATACTGCTCAGACAATTATTATGATTCCTACCAGAGACAATAATGGAGATCACTAATGCTATTTTTTCAAGCAGAGAATATTTTAGTCTGGTTCCCTGCCTTCAATTACTAATGTAATGTTAGGGGAAGAAATTCCAGACCGAGAATATTTCTGCTTGCAATTTTCATATCTGGCTGTTCTATTTTGCACCATACTCTTGCTCAAGTAAAATAGAAACAAAATTTTAAGAAAAGTTTCACTTAAAGTATTGTATGAATTTTCATTTTCAATAATTTTTTTAACAATTTAAACTAGCGTCAGACTGAACTGTAGTGTTTACCTGGGTGCTAGATAAATCTATCTTCATTCTCATATATTTATGTTTATATGATATCATTCTGGTGCCTTTTATGAATGAGTTACATACTGGATGACGTCATTATGATGCTCATGAAGTCATATAAAGTGTATCAATTGATATGGATAAAGATTACATTCAAAACCTGCTGCGTTAGTGTATGCAAAATGTTATTTTAACATTATATAAAAAGAAAACATAATAAGAATTGAAAATATCAATGCATATATTTATCCATTTTATCAGAGGGAGTAAACAAGAACAGCCAGTGTTTATTGCCAGTTTTACATCAGTTATTTTCTTCTTTGTGTACAGTGACAAATTGTAAAAATAGTCCTGGCCCTAAGGTTATGAAACTTTTTTCTGTACTCTGTCTCAAATTCCAGGATTTTTATTGGTCAATGCATATACTCTGACCAATCAAATACAGATGTTCCTAAAATTTCTAAATCACATCTCTGACATGCTATTGCTACATCTTGAGAAATTTGAACAAGAGCTGTCCATAGGACTGTGCCTTTAATTATTCTCAGAGCATGATAGCAAAACAAGAGCTTGGATAATGTAGAAATTTATATGTTAAAAAAGGGGCATAATTCTGTCAAAATCCATGTTAGTGTTATAGACCTTTAATAGTGACCTCCTCTTATGCTCTCAAATAAGTGTGTAAAGTTTCAACCAATTTTCTTCATTAGTTTTAGAGATACCAACTTGCATGCAAAAATTTAACTACAGTGTGACGCTAACATCGGCACCTGTACTCTTTATGCTTTGAATAGTCAAGCTAAAAATGGTACAAAAATTATTACAATTATTAGATTTTTACATTTTGAAATTTTACAAACTGTATAAACAGGGACATTATCAAGTTGATGTCATATTCTAATGGGTTAGCCATATCTGTAGAGAGTTATAACAATACATTTGTCTAAAAAGAATTAAATACTAAAACAAACTTAAATGTTCCCTACAAAATATTAAACTTCTATTATAAGTTGATTTAGCAATGATTTTTAATTCTGTGCATGTGCTACATGCGTTATAAGACATATATAAACATTATTCATTCAATTTGGTGTAATTTTTATATCACAAACATGTATTTTACCAATTACAGTACAAATTTATAACCATTCATGTATGGCCATCTAAATGATTTCCTCAAATTGCATCAAAATCTCAAAGTTATATTCTGCATTTTAAAAGAAAATACTTTTACAATTTCTGAACCAAACTCATGCATTCTATCGAAAAAAGAAAAAACAAACATTTTTTGAAGCATAAACCTTAATATTCACAATATTATGATATGGACTATTTCTTTTCAGTATTTCCTGTTTAGACCTAAAAATGAAAATGCACTGGTAATAAAATACATTTAAAAACAATTATTAATGATAAAACGTTATAAAAGTAAATTGTAGATTAGCTCATTTAAATCTCTCTATGTCAAGACCAACATTTAAACAGTGCACAACCTTGTCTGTCTGAATCTCGTCCGGTATACAAGTTTATAGTCTCTTCTTGTTCTGAAATGTAGCAATATATCTTCTTTTTTTCAATTAAGTTACTTTCAGATATTTAAGCTCTAACTATGATTGTACTGGTTTCAATTTTGAAAATGTTTACAATGGTTATATTGGTTAAAACCTTGTAAATGTTTACAATGGTTATATTGGTTAAAACCTTGTAAATGTTTACAATGGTTATATTGGTTAAAACCTTGTAATGTTTACAATGGTTATATTGGTTAAAACCTTGTAAATGTTTACAATGGTTATATTGGTTAAAACCTTGTAAATGTTTACAATGGTTATATTGGTTAAAACCTTGTAAATGTTTACAATGGTTACATTGGTTAAAACCTTGTAAATGTTTACAATGGTTATATTGGTTTCAAACTTTTAAACTTTTACAATGGTTATATTGGTTTTAAACTTTTAATCTTTTACAATGGTTATATAAATTTAAGCTGTGTAAACTTTTACAATGATTATACTGGAATATTGGATTCAGTTTTGTAAACTTTTGCAATGGTAATACTGGATTTAGTTTTGTAAACATTAACAACGGTTATATTGGTTGCATTGTTTTGTATATTTTCACAATATTTGCATTGGTTTGGACAAACACATCTTACAACAATATCACAATTTAGTTATCATGCCCTGTAAAACTTTTAAATACTAGCTGTAAGTAAGGAACCTGTTCAAAGTATATGCAGTCTGATCAGTTTTTAAACTCTTATTTTATACTTTAATCTACAGGTACTGATTTTTGTCCACCTTATGCAAAAAGTTTATTTAGCAGAATATAAAGTGTTATATGGTAGATACTTACCTCTGATTTCTCTAGCTGCAGACTCTCTTTTTTCTATAATATCTCTTGCTATTTGTTTAAACAGTTCATCTGCAATGTACAAAATAACAAAATATTACACAAAATAACAAAATATTACAAACATTTTACCAAAGTCCTTAATCCAAAGATATAACGTCTTTTATGAAACTTTATGAATATTAATTGATTTAAAACTTCATAAATATTAATTAACAGTATCATATTAATTGCCATCATAAATGTTTTCATCTGATAAAAATTGATGGGAAAACATCATTACCAGACACCTTATCTTAATCAATGTTTAGGCATAAAGTTCTGAGCACACATAGAGATGTTAAACAAACAGCTGTGTGTAACAAAGCTTGCTTAACTATTCACATTGCTTGACAGTTAAGAAAGGCCCTGGATAACGCAGGTATTTTTTTACCCTCACCAAAAATATATCAGAAAAGAAATAATGTTATGTAGTACTGTCTCATGGAAAATGACATATGTGAAGTTTCTTAATGAATATGTTTGTAGCTGTGAAGACGCACTTTGCAGTGAAACCTTAATCTTAAAATTTTCAAAATACTTCTTATGGTTATGTATATGACTAATAATGTGTGAAATGAATTCATTGAATATATGCCTTGCACATAAAACTTTACCCAGGAATTTTCAAATATAACAAGAGCCATGTCAACATGGCCACCCCCCGCCAAATGTGTTTGCTCATTGGAAGAATGTATATGTAGTAGAGCAGAATAATTCCATTTTAAGAGGTCTTTTGATAATGAAAACTGATGGCTATAGTGATTACAGATTTGAAACCTATGTGAATACTGATGGCTGAAAATAACAAAGGGCAATAACTGAAAAATAATGCAGGGTAGGTTATCATTCTTGTGTGCTGCATCCCTCCTCAGTAAAATCTATCCACCTATGAAGTTTCAAGTTGATACCTCAAACACTTTTTGAGAAAAAAATTGAATTGAAAAATTAAGTATGAAAAATAACAAAGGGCAATAACTCAAAAATTATAAAAGGTAGAGTTATCATTCTTGTGCACTGCACACCTCCTGAATTAGATCTATGCACCTATGAAGTTTCATAATGATATCTCAAAGGCCTTTTGAGTTATGCTCTGGACAAAAATTAATTTTGAAAAATAAAAAAAGGGCAATAACTAAACAATTATGCAGGGTAGAGTTATCGTTCTTGTGCACGCACTCCTCCTCAATGAGATCCATCCAGCTATGAAGTTTCAAGTTGATACCTCAAATACTTTTTGAGATAAACTCTGGAAAAAATAGTATGAAAAAGAACAAAGGGCAATAACTAAAAAATTGTACAGGGAAGAGTTATCATTTTTGTGCACAGCATTCCTCCTCAATAAAATCTATCCACATATGACATTTCATGTAGACATCTCAAACACTTTTGAGTTATGCTCCACTCGGGTGAAAAATTAGGTATGAAAAATAACAAAGGGCAATAACTCAAAAATTATGAAAGGTAGAGTTATCATTCTTGTGCACTGCACACCTCCTGAGTGAGATCTATGCACCTATGAAGTTTCATTTTGATATCTCAAAGGCTTTTTGAGTTATGCTCTGGACAAAAATTAATTTTGAAAAATAACAAAGGGCAATAACTCAAAAATTATGATTCAATCAATGAGGTCTATCCACCTATGAAGTTTCAAGTTGATAACTCAAATTCTTTTAGAGATATGCTACGGACAAAAATATCGGACGGAAGGAAGGTGGGACGGACGGAGACTATTTCTATATCCCCCGCTGCCTTTTCGGCGGGGGATAACAAAGGGGAATAATCCATTGAAAACCCTTGCTTGAGTAATAGGTCTCAGACAATGATCTGTGATTATGATCACAAGTATAATCTGATGTTCTAACAAATTACTTTCACTTGTTGTGGAAACAAACAATGCACATCAAAATCAAAGTTCAACAAGGGGAATAACTCAGTGAAAGTTCATTCTAGAGTTATGGGTATTGTTGAGTGTTGAAAATGGATCATTGCACAAAACCTTTACTTGTAAATCTAATTGTTTTGGTTTTTAACGCCAATTTCAACACTGGTCTTATTTCGGTTGATAGTCCACCTAACCAGCTTTTCCTGGATAACTAACCAGTAATTAATAATGTCTCTGCAAGAAACTGCCTGCTAATCTCACATTATTTCTGAATCAATAGTGAGAGACAAATTACTGTATGACTCAAAATCAAAGACCACAGAGAAATTTCACCCACACCTGAGGATCAAATCAGCAACCCCCGGATTACTAAACCTATCACCTCCCTAGCCAGCTAAGCCTGCAGACTCAAAGTGTGATTCAAATGCCTACAAGAGTAGGAAAGCTCTTCATACAAATTTTATCCTCAAGCTAAATATATAACAGTACAATAATTACCTACATTCTCCCCAGTAAGACTAGAGGTTTCATAGAGCTGACATTGAAAATCTGAAAATATAAAGTATTTCTTGTTAAAACTAAACATCTTCCTTTAACACTCATCTTACTGACTTAGTAAAAAAGATTTTTCAATGTTATTAAATAGAAACATTAATGTTCCAAGGAAGTTTAGATTTAAAATATCACAGTTGTAAAGCCATCAATATAGCCTGGTCAGTCTAGATTGATGGGCAGGCTGGCCAGAATCTATACTGTGGGCACTGCCTTTTTTGATCTGTTGCTAGTGCTCCAAGGGTTAAAACCATGTAATCCTACATTAAATGGTGTATAAGAGAGCATTTAAGACCAACAGATTCATTTTACTTCCTAAGTCTTTAAATAGTGGCTAAAATGGTAGTGGGCCTATGTCAAAAGTGTGGAGACATACTAGACTGTACCAGTCCTCTTATCTGTATCATATGGTCAAACTTTCTATTATGGAAAGGCTAAAGTTTAGTTATATGATCTTGAAACAAAGCACAGCCTCTGTACTAAGTTAATATAGCAAATGAACTCACTGATCATTATGAAGTGTTGTCAACAAAAGAAATGTTAGTATCTCTTTTAACATTATTTTTACTGTCTGCATCAACCACTTCATTTTCCTTAGCTAACTTAGAATTGAAACATTTTGTTAAGAAAATTTGATTTATATAGTTTTCTAAATAAAAGAACATGGAATTTAATTACTTGAAAACCTTGGAGAACTAAACTTTGAACACTAGTCAAATGTTTTACAATCAGAACTCTAATGATATAAAGAGTCACGAACCTGTCGCTAGAGGCTCGGCCACCTTTTTATCAACTTCCCGCTTGTTTGGATTATCATCTGCAATATCTTTCTTTGTACCACATAGATATATTCTACAATCCTAGAATTTAAACGAAATACATCTTTTAGTAAAAAGCTACCAACATGTTGAAATGATTGTCAGGTAATACCATCAAATTGCTAATTGCAACAAACATGTTGATTGCTTGCCAGGTAAAAACATCAAACAGTGAAACAAACTGAAAGTTCAACAACTGTCAGGTGTTAACAATTTACAACTAAATCATTTAATGTAAAAGGTCAATAGACTCAAGTTTGTGGAATAGTGACAACAGCCAAACATACTGTCAATAGATTGTCAATGAACAGGGAAACAAAATTCAACAAGAGCTGGTTGAACCGAGTGATGCTCCCCAAATAGGTTTTGGACACAGAAAAGTGTCTTTGGTAGTGTCAGAATTATGTCCTGAACAAAGTTCAAAGTGTTAAAATAAACAAAGGGCAATTACTCTTAAATAAGGCAAGGCAGAGTTATGGTTCTTTTGCAATGCACAGCTACCCAATGAGATCTATTTACCTACAAAGTGTCTAGTTCATATCTATTAGACTTTCAGAACTATGTCCTGGACAATGTTCATAGTGTAAAAATGAACAAAAAGAAAAAAACTCCAAAATTAAACAAGGCAGAATTACGGTTCTTTTGCACTTCACTTCTATTTAATGAGATCAATCTACCTACAAAGTTTCTTGTTGATATCTCTGATAGTTTTAGAGTTATGTCCCGGACAAAGTTCAAAGTGTAAAAATGAACAAAGGGCAATAAGTCCAAAAGAAGGCAAGGTAGAGTTATGGTTCTTTTGCACTGCACTTAAACCCAGTGAAATATATCTACCTATAAAGTTTCATGTTGATATCTCTAATAGGTTTTAAGTATAAAAATAAACAAAGGGCTATAACTCCAAAATTATGCAAGGCAGAGTTACCATTCTTGTGCACTGCACATCTATCCAATGAAATGGAACGTTACAAATGTGAAATATTATAATAACTAGGATAAATACCTCTTGTGTAGATTTTAATTCTCCTGCCCAGAACCTAGCTTTGTCAAAACTTCCTTTATCTGTGATATCATAGCATAGAATACAGGCTACAGCCCCTCTATAGTACATCCGTGTCATTGACTCATACCTCTCATGTCCTGCTGTATCCTATAATAAAACAGCATTAACCATATAATCTGTTAGAACTGGAAGTGATAAGCCATTGCCACTTGTATAGAGCCTGGCAAGCCTAGACTTCCATGTAGTCTGACCAGGCTCTACTATATTGTTGTTTGCTAAATTATTTTGATATATTAAAATTGCTAAAACAATTTGAATGGACTGTTCTACTTTCAAAACATGGCAAACTTGTAACATAAAATCAGCATGCTAAAAGTTAATATAGCCATGAAAACATACATGACAAATTATTATGATATTATTTTAATTTGAGAGATCTACCTACATGTATACTGTATACACAAAAACAAGCTCCTCTTAATTGCTAATTACCTCACATTTTGTACATTTAATGCTGAGCTGGGTGCAAACAGTAGCATTTTACTTTATGTATCATAATTATAAGTTTAGACCTTGTAATATGTATACCAGTATACATGTATACCAATACAGCCATTTAAAAAACAATCCTTAATACATTGATTCTTGTAACTGATGCAGAAGTCTGCATTGGTGACATGGTTAAAATGATGCCTGACTGCGGGAAGGGCTTACCTCATTTCATATTGTCTCACACTACTGTAATTAAGGTTCTCAATGATCAATGACAGCCGTACAGCTCAAAATTCATATCTTTTGCTAAAACACCATAGAAGTAAATTAGGATGTAATTATCACCACTTTATGCTTCTAAATTAACCTTTATTGGCATGACTGGTGACATGTCCAGGGTCCATACTCAACAGAAAAAGCTGCTTTTTGTGCCCTCATGTGCGGATGGCATGCATGCAATGCACACATACACACACATACATATGATTGTGGGTCTAAGTCCTACTATAGTTATTATTAAGTTTCCTTATATGAACTTTTATTATGTAGACCAGGATTTTCAAGAATTAAATTTCATACAAGTGTTATGTTTATTATTTATTATAATTATCCATATACACAAATGTATCTAACACTCTGGGGATTCTGTTAATGGAGTCCCACATTATGACACCACAGAAATACCCCACTCACACAGGGTGTAGTGAAACAAGGTAGAGTAAATTTTTTGCTGAATAAACAGCAGTGTCTTTTATTGGATTTGAATCCAGGACTTCTGGATTCTAATGCACAAATCTAACTAATGATCCAAAAGATGTAAACATAATTCATAAAATTTACTGACTCAGCTTCATAGAAGAGCTAAGATTAATATGTATTTGTAGCAACTATAGCAGAAACAAATTTTTATATGGAACATGTACCTACCCATATACCTAAAACTATTGGCTTTCCATCGACTGTCTCCTTCTTAGAGCCAAAGGCCGCACCTATAGTCTGCAATGATAATGAAACTTAATATATACTTTAATACAGAAAAATCATTCTTTTGGTAATGAGTGAAAATGTGATATCTGGTTTTCCTAAGTAAAAGTTGAAATGGGGGAATCGGTGAGAATCTGTTAAATAATTCTAGAATTCTAGGACTGGTGTCAACTTTAACTGAACTACATACTATACTACATCAAAGTATTAGTCTTTTTACACAAAATTTGTTTAGTTAATATTCACAGTCTTGCTTGCATTAAATCTTTTTTTCCTTATCTTGTAATTTTTTTCTCTTTACAATGCATGCAAATTTTATAGACCTCTTTCAAGAAGAATCTTATTTTCACTTGTCAAATTTTTTTAATTGCAATGAGGCTGCTAAGGGCAGATAACTGTTACTCAAACACAAGGTCCACGACCACAATTTTTTTCCCCGCTAAATAAAATAGTTCTGTTATCATATTCTAAGATCATGTAAAATTTAAAAATAAATTCTATGATAAGCTATTCATACTGATTATATGTAACCTTAGCATGCGCCATTAAGAAATTGAATTGGTTTAAGAGTGAAATACCATAAAGATGTAAGAAATATTACCCACATTTTGGTAAGGAAGATTTGCATCAAATCTATGATGAACATATTTGTTAACGAGACAAGTTTTTCCGACGTAAGATTTGCCTAGCAGCACCACTTTGGCATCTACTCTACTCATAACTGTAAAGTCTGTGCGTCCAACGGAAACAGTCTTCAATTCCACATGACATTCACTTTAATTGCTCTGTGAATACAAATATTTAATGCTAAAAGAACCATTTAACAAATCATTTTGTAGCTATTTAGATAATTATGAAAAGTCATACATATGATCTCTAATGATTCTGGCAATATATTCCTGCTTTTGGGTTATATATGACTAGCTTAAGCATACTGCAAAGTTAATTTAACTGACCATACTGCAAGAATTCTTTGATTCTTAACATTAACTATTTTTATTGACATAAAAATAGCAAATTCTATGTGTATCTTATTTTACTTAACAACATTTACAAAACATTATACAGTTATTTCATATGTGATTTGGGAACAGTCAAACTGCTGGCCTGAGATGGAGGAGATATTGTTTTGAAATGTTGCCTAAGGCCTGATCAATTACTGATTTAACAGTGCTTGCAGAAGAAAAAAGAAACAAGAAAATAGTTTTGGCTTTAAGAGTTTTGCAAATACATGTATGTTACAAATTAAACTTTCTCAATATTAAAAATCTTTTTACTAATACTATGTCACGTCACGTGTAATTTATGACGTCAGAGCACACGAGGGAAAAAGTCGAAACTTAGAATTGACCGGTCAACAGTTCATGAACGTGGACGTTTTTAGAATTTCAGAAAACAGTAAAAATACCAAATGACATTTATATAAGGTATCAGGTATTAACGTAATAAATTCTACTAACTATGGATTACATGTAACTGTTATCCATTAGGACCGTACTGTACAAGATAAGATAGCATGCAATCAGAAAATAATGGATTTAAAAAATTTATTAATTACATAATAAATTTCCATAAAAACTTGACCAAACTAAGGATTAAATTTAGGATAAAGATTAGTTGGCTGGTGGTTCACCACTGGTACAAATGTCTATTTTACCGCCATGACACAATTACATGATTTAAAAAATTTTTGGGGTAAATTGTCAACCTATGGCAACAATGGTATTAAATGTTACAAATCATATTTTAGTATTGGTTCCATTAAATGAGCCAATGTCCCATTGCGCTTTAACACAATCATGCCAATTCAAAATCCATCCACAAATGACACAGTTATGGACCTGACAAAAAAAGAGGACAGACTAAATTGACAGATGCTAAAAAACCATATGCCTCATCCATTGGAGGAGGATGGGATTGAAAAACAAAATATGTTTATTAATTGTTTGGCCAAAAATGTTTCCAAAGTTTTCAATCTCATTCTGTAATTAATACATATATTTTATATATCTTGAGTGTTTAGACGGTGATATCTAAAATTTTAAGTGTTCTGTAAACCCTTTACCTCATATATACGCGAAACAACGCACTTTCGACCCCCCCCCTTTTTTTTAGGCCTGAAATAGTGAAAAAATGTCCTATTTGGGCCCCAAACACATGTTTTCGTTTGAGAAATGTTGCTTAAAAAAGTGAGCACTTTTTCGGCGCCGTCCCCCATCCAAAAGATAAATCAGGGGGTTGCCAGAAGGGGGATGTCATGACCCCAGGTCGATCATAAGGTAACGTGTAACTAGAGGTGCGCGGTTTAACCGGTATACCGGTAAACCACGGTCCGAGACATCTGTGGTACGTACCGCGGTACAGACCTGGAAAACCGGTACTTTTAGCTCTAATTTAAAGCAATTACAGATCCGTAAAATGTACTAAATAAAAAAAACTTTTTCTGTTGTATATGTCAATGTTTCTTTGAGTTAACCTTTTTGCAAACAGCTTTCACCGACTGTTATCATTCTTCGATTAAGTTCTTAGCGAAAATTGAATGCTTTATCGATTACCGCATGTAAGCCAGAATTGTCGACTTGCATGATCTCAGTTGAAGAAGCAAGAATTGTCGACTTACATTTCCTTGTCCAAATATCGCTTATTTGATACGAAAACTAATAGTAAAATTTGATAATTCATGAGGGCATTCCTTGCATAAAATTAGGGTGTTACTATTTTAAGTATTTATATAAATAGCGACCAATCAGGCTAGGGGTTTTCCTTACGTCACGCACTTACTGCATGCGCATAGCAATTAACTAATTATAGAACGGCGTTTCTTGCATATCAGACTGGCGTTTCCGTTAGTTTTACCAATGCCGGAAATTTCATCTGGCATGGGGGGTTCCAGATGAGTCGCGTGCGGTACAATGGCACGATAAAGATGACGTCATTTTACCGTTATGAATGATTTTGTAATTCATACGTTGCTGAATGAAAGTAGATACGGTTGTAATGATATAAATTTTCATTGAAAATAAAGGTAAAGAATTTAAAATATAATGGAATATGGTAGAATATGCAAGAAAAAATATCTGACATATGTTTGCGGTTCGGATCGGAATATCCGTCCCTCGGTCACCCGCCCATGGGCGGTAACTCGGCAAGCCTCGTTACCGCCCAATGGGCGGGTCACCTCGGGACGGATATTCCTATCCGAACCACAAAATATGACAGATATTTTTAAGAAACTGGATTAAAAGTAATGTTCGTTCAACTAATGAATATTAATTAAGCAGTAACATGGTCAGCTGTTTTCTATGTGATAATTATAATTTGCTTTTGGGGTACATGTTTGTTTTGGTTTCTGACACAGATTAATTAAATACTTAGCCCTTGCAATAAAAAATTTACAAATAGCAGCTGGGACTCTGTTATAAAATTAACCGACAAATAAATACTATCGTGCATTTGACCTATTATTTTATTAATCAATAAGCAATAAAACATTTTATTTTTCCATTTTAACTATGCAATTTATATAACAATTGTTAAATGTTGAAAGAGACCAATATGTAATAATAAAAAAAAACAAGAACTGATCCATGACCCAATTAATTCATGATTGTCAACATGCGAAAGTACCTGATTGAAAAAAGTTAAATGATGCTTTGATTAATCTGTATTTTATAGATCTGCTTAAATTTAATATTTGAAATTCTATACCAGCCTACCTTGATACTTATTTTAGAGATAAAAATTAACCTATAGCGTACAATGAAAATTCGTGGTATACCGTGGTTTATACCGTGGTTTTTAGGAAAAAACCGTGGTATACCGTGGTATTTTCTTTCTGGCGGTACCCAACTCTACGTGTAACCAACCCTGAAAAGCCTTTGACTCTATCTCAATCCCTTGAGAAGTTGCAGCACTTTGAAATAAATTTTGATGGAAAAAATCGAGGCAAAATAGTGATTTTTGGCAATTTTGAGATGTCCCCTCGTTGCCATGGTATCAGGAAATTTAAGACTGAGCAAGTTTGAACTTGTAAGAGGAGGCTTTTCAGTGAAAATAGCCATTTTTCACAATATGCTCATGAGGGAAAGGGTTAACACTCTAATTTCTTAGTACATTAGTCTGGGGGGAGGCACTTAGTTGTGATTTTCAAATTCTAAAGTCTTTTATTTATATATTGATAAATTGTTTAAGGCATAACTGGTAAACTGTTTAGGCCTATGTTGTGGCCCTTACACTTTATGATCTTCCACAAATATCAAACATGCAGGATCATAGAGATAGACATGTGATTGACCTTTTCGAAAACCTAGCTAAACACCGTTTTCCGGTACGTTACCGTTTTAGCTCTGGGGAATTACACCAAATGAAGTACATAACACAGTAACGCGATATTTCTATCATTATTTAACCGTTTAAGGTGAAAAAATGATGTTTTTGAAAATTATCAATATTCGTTTAATATCTATTGCAAATTATTCAAAAAAAATAAATTGTTTATAATGAAAATCAATAAAATTCAAACTTACGTAGTGGAATCTTCCATAGTAAATAAGGTTATTTTCTGCGTAAACTTGTGTATTAACTTTATTTTTGTCTGGAATTATTCATACAATGATATTTAATTATTTTCTTATAAAGAAATAACTCTTTTATTTCAATTTAATTTAAAAAAAGGCCGGAAACATAGAGTTCGCTATTACACTCCATTAGGTGAATTCCCTAGAGCTATGTACAGAAAGTACCGGAAAACGGCGTTTAGCTAGGTTTTCGAATTTGTGAGAGTTGGCAAGTCACGACTCAGTGCCACCCCAGTGTGCTTTAATATTAAATATATAGGGGTTATATAGTTATATTTCACATTAATTCTTTTTTATTGACAAAATATCAAGCTTCTGTGATGCTCTGATGAATGACAGTTACCAAGGGTCCATAAGACACCAGTGATTTTCCTGCTTATATAACAGACTCCGAAAAAGGGCCTCTTCCCAATTGAAATTTTCTTTAAAATCATGCAGTTTTCCCAAAAATCTGAACTTAAACCTGCTTTTTTCTTCCCAAATAAGCAATTTTAGCGATAATTTTTCCCAAAATCAAGAGGCTAAGGCCTCTTCCCAATTAAGTGAGAAAAATCACTGGACACATTAAGTATCCGAATATTGTACTATCCGAAATTTAAATATTATAATTTCCTGAGAAAAATAATATTCTCATCATTTAATTTATTAGAAGCATGGACCGGGTTGTGCTAAACACAAAAAGATTGAAATTAATAAAATATTCAATATCATATTACATTCTCTAACATCAGATGATACGTAATTAACGATTATTTTCGTTTCGTTTTCTGTTCTTGTTGTTGTTGTTATAACTCGTGTGCGAATAAAGCAATAGCGTTGTCATAATCGCGAATTATCTCTTGCTTTTGGGCCTTATATAATTATAACAACTCAGTATAATTCAAATTTATCTGAACTTATCGATTTTTAACGTTAAGTTAGTTCCTTACTGTATACTGGTCGCTTTTGTGACTTACCAGTCTTGTGAGTAAATTACACGGAGGTTATTCGACCCCATCTGTAATAAATTGAAGTCAATATTGACCTAGGTTCTAACCATGGCCCTTCACCTGCTGGAACTGAATATGACTAGCCTTTGACACAAGTATAGTTTGGTTATAAGTATAGTTATCGGGCACTTCGGTGCAGTCCGACTAAGCTTTTTACTGTTCCTTATTACGCCGCCTGTCAATCAAGCTGGCAGGGGTTGTACAGATGATCGTTTTCAGTTTCACGCTAAGATGTCTGCAAAATCCGCCATTTTCGTTAGACAAGCTATATTTGTATAAGACAATGGTGCAGCAGTATTTATATTGAAATTATTTTGATTTTTTTTGTCAATTTAAAGCTATTATAAATAAGTAACTTTGTATATCTGAAGATAATAAGTTATATAGCAGGTACAAAAGCAGAGACATAACATATATTATCTAGATGTTATCTATACATCTCTGACGAAAGTTAAAATAGAGAGAAATAAAGAATTCCTAAAGAACGTACAAAACGACAAAATTGAAAATGTTGCAGGCTCGGTTTGATTGAGTCTGTTCATGGACGGTAATGGAATGTGCGAGTATAACCGTCCACGCCCCATAGCACCGGCTTAAGCAGTATTCAACATCTAACATGATCTGATAAAATTTGGAATTTTTAAACATCCGCAGACGTGTTCATATGGCGGTTTTCGTGGAACCTTTAATGCGACACGTTATAGTGCCATTCCATGAAAAGCGGCATATGGTCCCCAAATAAAAAAAATGCGTTTGCCCTTAACGGAAAACAATGGGCGGAACTAAATAAAAAGGAATTTTGAATGGGGATCAGAGGTTATACTTACTTACTGGCGTTCGCTCTACACGATCACGCCAGTATCCGCGATGAAGGTTGTGGTCCGCCGCAGGTCCTCAACGTCTCCGTACAGCTTCTGCTGGAGTGTTGCACCTCGGGACCACGTTGCTCCTCGCTCCTGGTCGTGTCTTTTGCATCTTTGGAGGATATGCTCTGTAGTCTGGTCCTCTTCTCCACAGGGACATATGGGGGACGGCACCAGTTTGTACTTCCTGCACATGTGTGCATTCAGTCTGTTGTGTCCCGAGCGAAGCCTGACCATCACCACTTGTTCTGGTCGGTTTAGCATGTGGTAGGCATCCGCTTCCTGTCTTGTCTTGGTGAGAGCCTTGATGATGGTGGCTTTCTCCTTGTATGTCACCTGGTTATCTGGTTGCTCCAACTGGGCTCCTAACCTAGCCAGCTTGTCAGCCTCCTCATTTCCGGGCACTCCACAGTGAGATGGTATCCACTGAAGTGCAACATTACAGGACGACCCAAGCTTGTTCACGGCTTGCGCTAGTTCAGGAACATTGTTCTTTTGTAGGGCCTCCAGAACTGATCTTGCATCTGTGAGGAAGACTACAGAGGTGATCTCTTCTGGCGAGTTTTCTATCAAAAAAACTGCCTTCATGAGTGCCTCAGTCTCTGCTCTGTAATTGCTGCAGTGCTTCCCAGTGGCGATGTAATGGGCTGTTTTCTGGCCTGACGGGTACGTTATGTGAATACCACCGCCTCCATCCTTTACGGCTCTAGTGGCTGACCCATCTGTGTATACATGGGTCCATGTGTCCGAAGGATAGTCTGCGTCGGAGGTTATGAAGCCTGGCTTTACCACAATGCATTAAACAAGGAAGAAGTTTAAACAAATACTCTACTCGTATTCCTTCCTTTATTACAATTATGTCTATTCATAATAGTCACACATAATATAATGCGTTTTTCTTACGAAACCCTCACATTTCTTACTATTATAGTAGAATTCGATTAATTATTATTCCTACATGTGTATTTTCTATATTGTATTGATTTGCATAATATTGATGTATGTACTATTCTTTGCACATGTTTAAGTATTGTTGGTTAAAACAATAAATAGAGGCCATGCCTTATAGTACGGTATGGCCATTAAACACAATTTGATAGTTTGTTATTCCTCGCGTGGCTGTTCATAAAATATATTATAAAGTCGCAGAATATCCAGATGATATGACATTTTTGTTCGTTCTTAACATAGTGTCAATAAAATGCTGCAGTAGAAAAAAGTACTTGCAAATAAAATGAGAGAATATGCAACGAATATTTTATGTGAAATTATCCTATCTAAATATTTCTATGAAAGCTCAATGATTTAAGATTAAATATTTAGAAACATCTGCTTCAATAACATCATACCTGATCACGATTTTTATCTCACCGTCTGGTGTATGCGCAACTTATTTTAAAGTGAATAATATTGCGTTTTATCACGAAACATAAATTATCTAATGTACAAATATACATATACATTGTAATCATATATCATACTACAAACTTACGTAAGGGCAATTTTCTCATTCAATTTTAACAATTTATGCACAAATGCATTATATGTAAGTGATTTCGCACATAAAACCCTATAAACATCTGTAAATGTTATTGTGTTATTGATATAATTTTACGATTTATATGTTCCGCTACTTCAATTTTAACTATCAACTAAAATGATATTTTGTCAGAAACATCTTCCTTGATATCAACGAGAAATATAACAAGATCTTTGCCAAACGTTTTATTCATAATTAATGCATGAATGCAGTTGTTTGTTACTTCTATAAATACAATAATACATTGAAGTATCCAAGAAAAGCATTAAAATTTATATATTCCTTTTATATAAGGAAAATTCATTAGTAACTTTAGTGTCATAATAGTTTCCTGTAAACGTCGGTACCATGTTTTGTCTAAGGTGCTGAATGACCGGGTCACGTGAATCAGTGGGCGGAGCAATCTCTTCTCTGGCGTAATGTCAATTGGACAGTTATATAATATATAACAGTTAAGGAACTTGTGTATCGTGCAAGCAACTAAAGTTTTCTACAGCATTTTGCAATAGCGGTGTCCAAATTATTGTAATTTAACACTAAGCATTCTGGGAACAATATATTATTGAACAACATTAACAATTCTATAATGTTCTATATATACCGTTATGATAAATTATTAAGTCTTTTTGGCTTGCAGCCACGGCTGCAAGCCATTTGTTTTGGAAAAGTTGTTCCGGTCAGGTGGTTTCCTGCTTACATTTGTTAGTGCATGATTGAACGGGAAACCAATCTATCATTGTGTCAATCGCAACTTTTCGGCCCTTTCCGTCACTCTTCGGATTAATAATAATAGCCGAGGCAGTTCCGATTGCAATCGTGAGAATTCGGGCGATTCCGTCATACTGCGGAATCAGACAAAGTAATATTACGGAAATCTAAGCTATTTTAGTTACTTCGGTAATCCCAGTTTGTTTATATAAATAGGATTTCTATTTTTACTTGATTTATCGGTAGAAGGAAGAAATAAATTATAAACGAAATTGTTCCGTTTCAATTCTTTTTCAAGACGCAAAAGTTAGTTTCTTTTATAATTGGTTTTTGTCTTTATTAGTTTTATACAATAGAGAATGGTTACTGTAGTAGTATTCCGTCTCCAAAGGGCGGTCAATCACACAGAATATTAGTGCATGATCGAGTTATATTTAGATCTACTGAGTCTTTTATTTAAACGCAATTCTAACGTAGAGTTTAAACGTCTTGGTGAGGTAATCTAAAAATAGCCCATGCATATCATTAACCTTACCACGTGCTGATCTACAGATAGTGATCATAGATATTTTAGGTGTAACATATAGTTGATACATGCTTATTAATTGGTACCACGTAACGAAGTCTTTTAGTGCATTTACTTGTCTATGAAGCTGCTATATAAATGAAATGAGCAACTGCCAAAACTAATGACTCTCTCTGCAATGAAATGTGCAACTTGTTTCCCTTCAGTATGATAGATATATCTCCATGTGGGAGAGCCAATGTTAGTGTTTTTACGATTGATTATTTTCTTTATTAGTTTTATACAATAGAGAATAGATTTCAAATCGTTTTTGACAAAAAATATTAGTTTTTACAAAAAAACTAAATAAACCCTTTATATATATGATATACAAATACCGTAATTCAAAAAAATTGTGATAATAAATTGAAACAAAAGAAATAAATTAAAGGGTTGGGATGATGGCACAACTAAGCAAGCCTTTCCTTTTAAAATGAAACTTTATTTCATCTAGGGTTCAAATTAATTTTGACAGCAGCAAAAATTTGGTCCACAAAAGTTCCCGGAACAGAAGTTGTATTTGTACATGTAAAGTCCTAGTGCCCCATTCGTGTCCCTTGGCAAAACGGGTGCGCCTCGATATACATGCAATGCATTGAAACACTTTTTCCTGTAGATAAAAGAAGAAAACAAAAACGAATTTTTTGTTTGGGTTTTACGTCACACCAACACAGTATAGGCCATACGGCGACTTCCTATCTTTACCGGGAACCTGCTCGAGTAGATCCACCGATGTTCCGTAAGCTTGCTAGATAGCTTTATCACATAACAGAATCCGCGAAGACGCGGCTGGAACCTACAGCGGTGAGAGACGAGGCATGGGGTTTGAAGTCAACGGCTTTGTTTGGTAGCTTTACAAAAGATGCTGTTTTTAAACGTATATGGACAACCGACGACGGAGAGACAAGGACCCCAAGAGCTAAATTGCATACTTCATAAATTTGCTCAAACAAGCTAAAAGTATATCAAATCCCTTACTCTGCTGGAACCAAAAGTAATAAGCCTTTGTCAAAAGGTCTAACTTTAAATTTTTATCTTGATATCCCTTAATTTGATAATGAACAGTTCAAAAATGGAAGCGGGACAATCCATTTAAGAAATTCCGAGGTAAAAAGTATATCAAAATACCCTAGATTCTTGCATGTATCTTCACAAGACACTGCAAGATTCGAACACTGTCGTCTGACAGCATAAACATAATTACTCCCTGACAGAAGAGCCGTACATGTAGATACGGCAATTTGATCTGCAAAGTCATACGTCACGCCAAAGTTGTCGTCTGCTCCATAACTTTTTATACAGCCTGTTGAATAAGAAAACACAACGCTCGACTTTGACTTTTAAATGAATAATGTATCAGTGTCATTATCGAAAAAAGTCCATTTTAACAAAAAGGTAAGTAAGCAAAGGACTTCGTATACATAAGTTCACTTTTTGTTGTATAAGACATGAATCCCCGCTCCCCTGCATGCCTCCAGATGAGCAAAATATTTCAATGATATAAAACTTAAGAACATGAACTGAGAATTAAGGAAAGGTAAATGATTCAATATACCAGTAATAATTTACATGTTATGTGCCATTAATGACTAATTTTGCAGTACTTATCACCATATTTCTACAGCGAGATTAACTTAGTAATGGCTAAGGAATAGAAACTTATACAAATGGACCATATACTAATCTTAACTAAAATAATATACATGTACCTGCAAATTGAACACTATTACATGGCCTCTCTTCAGTTTCTGTTTGTGCTCCTTTTGTCGGAGAATGTTCAGTGGTTGTTCTCGATCTACTTTGTACCCTACCACCGTGTCTCCCAGAGCAGTTTAATGTACAATCGCTCCAAACACTCCAATCTCCCCAGCTAGGCAACGCAGATTCTATAAAAATGCATTTTTTCTATAAGGAAAAATGAAATTCCCTGAAAACTGTATAATTTTACAGTCGTATATCCCTCATTCATGGGCTGTTATCTTAATACAATTTATCAGCCGAAGAATCTATTTCAACAAATAAATCAATGCGTTGTTATGATTTTGTATTACGATTTTCTTAAATGTCTGTATAGTTGGGCTATGACTGAGCTGCTACTTTTAAGACAAATAATTTCACATTTGTTACTCTCTTCATTTCTAACTATCTAACTTGCTCAAAAACGCTTCTGAAGCGTAATGTACCTTTAAAATCAAATGTACAGCAATACCTTTCAGTTGTTTTTCAAATCCGTCGATAAGATTGCTCTGGTGTTTCACCGTCTCCTGTAGTATTTTCTGTCGCTCTTCTAACTGTGCAAGTTTCTGGAACATCTGTTAAACAAATTTTAAGTATATAAAGATAAATAATACTGTTCATCCCTTGCAGAGTAATACTCTTAAGATACCTTTTATGTTTGGTTTTATAACAAACCAACACTGTCAATGTTATACGGCGACATGGAGGGATACCTCAGCAACCCTCCAGACACAAGCGGGCACCGAAGTAAAACTACCGACGTTTCATAAGCTAGCAGAATGGCTTCCTCACATGAATCCAAAGTTAATTGCGGGATTTGAACCCATATCGGTGAGGAGCACGTCGTTTGAAGTTAACGGCCTTAACCTTTTGGCAACGGACGCCCCCTATAGAAGCTAATTAATATTGTTGGAGGCATGTAGCTTAGATGTGTTGCTGTAGAAAGGTATAGATTGCTGTTAATTTTGGAAGATTTGATACTGTTGATGTAAAAAGATTATAACAGAGGGCTGTTGTGTTGAAGTAGCTTTGTATTTAATTTTTCTGTTGTGGCATGTATATCGTAGTTTCGTGTTTTCACCATCAATCGTGTTTTCTTCATTTCTTTATATACATGCCGTACGGAAATATTCCGGACATATTGTTTGGGTTAGGGCTTTGGTCCTCTTTTTGTGCAAAGAAGACCCCCTTAAGATGTACAAAAATAATTTGCAACGGGATCAGAAAAAGTATGTTTAAATGATTGACTCTAGAATATGGTGTTTTTACGAAAATGTATGCACTTTATATAGAGAAAAAACAAATCACCGGTCCAAGAAATGGCCATGCCACACGGAAATCTCCCGAAAATATTGTTTGAGTTACATTAGGGATTTGGTCCTCTTTTTGTGCAACGAAGACACTCCAAAGTTGTACAAAAACGAATTTGCAACAGAATCAGACAAATCTTGTCTTAACGGTTGGCTCTTAAGTATGGTGTTTTTTATGCACTTTATGTACAGAAAGTACAAATCGCCGGTCCAAAAAGTGACCATGCTAACCGGAAATCTCCCGGATATATTGTTTGTGTTTGGGCTTTGGTCCACTTTATGTGCAAAGAAAACCCTGTCAAGTTGTTCAAAAACGAATTTGCTACGGAATCAGACAAACGGTGTCCTAACGGTTGGCTCTAGAATATGGTGTTTTTATGCACTTTATATACACAAAGAACAAATCGCCGATCCAAAAAAATGACCATGCCACGCGGAACTTTCCCGGACATATTGTTTGGGTTAGGGCCTTGGTTCTCTTTTTGTGCAAAAAAACCCTCCAAAGTTGTTCAAAATCATATTTGCAACGGAATAAAACAAAAGATATTTAAACGGTAGATTGTAGAATATACGGGTTTTTTACGAAATTTCTTAGACTTTACATAATTACAGAACTAATCGCCGGTCCAAAAAGCGACCATTTTTGGTATCAAGAGCCTTTTATTGCTGTCAAGTATATTCTCTAATCCATCACAATCTTTTTGATCGTTCCACTTTTTAAGTATGTAGCGTTCATTTTACAATGGCTAGCTGTGCATGACGTCAATTTCTGTAAGAACATGCTCTAAAGCGCGTTCTGTTTAACACCACTAAATAACATTCTTATCAAGTTGTCATCGATCAAAATAATGTAAAACACAATTTCAGGAGGCTTTTGTCTCCATGATGTGACTTTGCAAATTTTCAACCGGTTTAAACAGCAAATTGCCAGTCCCAAAACGACCGAGCCATGCGGGAATCACCCGGACATATTGCTTAGGTTAGGGTTTTGGTCCTCATTTTGTGCAAAGGAGACGCTCCATAGTTGTACAAAAACGAATTTGAAACGGAATCAGACAAATGGTGTTTTAATGGTTGGGTCTGGAATATGGTGTTTTTTACGAAAATTTGAAAGTATGTTTATGTGAAAAATGTTTAAAAAGTGTTGCATTAAAAGTGTCTGCCAATGTAAAGGCCAATCAATTACATGAATTAACCAAGGACGAATTTAAAGTACATCCTTTCTTTTTTGTATTCACGTTTAGTATTACTGAAATAAATATTTTGCAAGAAGTAGATCTAGTCCAGTTATAAAGTCGCTAGGAAAATGGGACGAAGTTTCTTTTCCAAGTCACTCCGACACTGTTAAAGTCATGTTAATTTACCGAATTAATTTATAATTTGTTAATTTGATAAAATAAGATATTTATTCTTACCCTATAATCTGTATCAAATCTAGAATTACACCTCGGTTCCTGGCTCTTCTGTGTGGTGCTGTTTTCACAGTCCGTAGAGTCAAATTTGTCCATTAATATTAGCAAAACAGAGATTAGAAACTTCATTTTGATATCATATACAAGGCGTATATATTTATGTAAAATATCTCTTCAAATAAACTGCAGTTTACACTACCACTTATTTAGGATGAATGTCTTGATTAAAATCAAATGACAAATATACTCAGTTGCAAAAGAAAGTGTACACTTAGATACTTGGAAATTTTTTATACTTACTTAAGCAAAATACTAGTACTGGCAAATTTTGTATCAAAATTTGAAATGTATTGACTTCAAAATGGTTTCCTTTGTACTGATAATTGATAATTGTCAGAATTGCTGATTCGTGTATGTAGGCAGCGGCGGTATGGGGTAGCGCTTTTTTGTCCAAAATACGTGACAGTAAATCACTATCTGCTGCGCCCATCTTCTCAATGGATCAACGAAAGTGATCGAGACTGCATGGAACTGCATGGAATATCCAAGGCATAAACGAATTTACAAAAAAAGTAATTCTGCAGCTTTTATTTGTCATCCCCCTTTTTACACGTCATCAAAGCTTTGATAATCAAATGTGAACCATCATGTACATGTCTTTAAAGGACTAACATAAAACTTTATAATTTTTAAATTATTGTTTTTGAGCATCTTAGATACGTAGCACATGAAGAAAGAAGCAAGAATCGTGAAATTACTTATCCTAAATGTATCAAAATGTAAACAAAGTAGTATTTTGACTTCCATACAAAATACTAGACCACTATCACTGTAATTAAATGTCAAAAGGCAACATCTAAGAAAGAATGATTGTTTAGGTATTTTGCCAATGAGTAATTTTGAGTATTCATTTGGAAACTATAACAAAATTTTAAAAAATAAAAAAGCTTTTGAAAAATGAAAAATGAAAATAAATGTATTTCTTGGGCATTAAGGGCCTTTAAATTGTGATACCAACTACGCAATATTTTGCTTTAAAAAAATATGCAAAATTTTCGTCGAACCAAGTGCACACTTTCTTTTGTAACCGAGTATATATGATATTTAAATGTATGAGTACAACGCTATGTGTCTAGATGTTGACAAACTAT